CTTTACCCTGTTCTACTTTTTCTTTTATCTGTAACACTTAATCACCTAACAATCCATATCAATTGCTTATGTTTGTGCTTTAGTATTTGTTTCTTCCACACGAGGGCAGGGTTATTATCTGTGTTGCCCACTGATGTATTCCAAATACCTAGAACTGTACCTGACAAATAGTATACATTCATATTACTTGAGTAAATAAATAATTTTGTACTTGTCTGTGGGATTATCTAATTAACAGATAAGTGATTCATCTAGGAACAGGAACTGGGTCTGGTGTTGTTCACCATGTCCGTACTACATATTAGCGTTGGGCTCAGCGTAGATTACGCACAAAAATATTGTTAATTGAAGAATACCACTTTTTAAAAAAAATATCTATCAGAAGACACAAATTTCAAACTGACATCATTTGCATTTTGTAAGATTGTAGTAAAAACCCACCCTCTCATATCTTGTTGGCAGGTATGTAAATTGATGCCTTTTTTGAGAATAAGCTAGCAATGCTATTAAAATTTAAACCACTCAGAACTCACGTCCTTTAATTCAGCAGAAGTAAAAGAGTACCTGAAAAATATGCACAAGGACAAACATTATAGCACTGTTTATAAAAAAAATGAAAAAACTGAAAACAATCTACTTTTCCATCAACAGGGGAATTTGCAAATAAATCATGCATGGTACATGCATGTGATGAAACAGTCTCTTAACAAGAATGAGGCAAATTCTTAACACTGACCTGGAAAGTGGTCCATGATCTAGTAAATGGGCCAGAAGACCCTGGCATCACATGATCTGGATTTGAATCCTACTCCCCTACTTACCAGCTGTACAATTCCAGGCATGTTTCTTTAACTTCTCTGTACCTCAGTTTCCTCATCAGTAAAACTGGAGCAGTAATATTCCAATAGTACCCACCTCACTAATATGAAGCTTTCCTGAGATACCACCTACAGTGCTTGTACCACATTACATGGCTATATAACCATTGACAAGTACATAATAATGACAGCTAACATGTATTAAGTGAGACAGGCAAGTTGCAGACCTGTATACACACGGCATATCTATATGGGAGTAAAAGGTAGCATACCTATGTAACTATAGGAAAGAGTCAACAAGGACAGAAAACTTAATAGTAATTACCTCTGGCAGATGGGGGAAGACATACTTCTACTTTTTAAAATATTGTGCATATCTTATAACAGAGTAATTATACAAGACAGTATTTTTTGAATAAAAAAGTAATGATCTCTGGGAGGCCGAGGTGGGCGGATCATCTGAGCTCAGGAGGTTGAAACCAGCCTAAGCAAGAGCGAGACCCCGTCTCTACTATAAATAGAAAGAAATTAAATGGCCAACTTATATATATAGAAAAAATTAGCCGGGCATGGTGGCGCATACCTGTAGTCCCACCTACTCAGGAGGCTTAGGCAGCAGGATTGCTTGAGCCCAGGAATTTGAGGTTGCTGTGAGCTAGGCTAACACCACGGCACTCACTCTAGCCTGGGCAACAAAGCGAGACTCTGTCTCAAAAAAAAAAAAAAAAAAAAAAAGTAATGAAGTAAAAATCAGAGGAAATGCTTCTAAGATGTAGTTTAACTTAAATTAAAATAAATAATAAAATTTGAAAAATTTTACATGTCTTTGACTTCTCAAGGCAAACAGACTAATCAACTGAAATTTGACTACTAAAATTACCTTTAGTCTAAACTAAGTAAACTATAGTACACTATCAAAAAAACCAAACTTTTTCCAAAAAATGTACAAAATAGGAATTAAGTGGTAGGGCCCAGGGCCCACAGATAGCCAATAACCAGCCATTAGCTTCTGTATTATGCTTGCTTGCTTGCTTAGGAGAGTGGGAAATTTTCAGTTGACCCTTATCTGACTCCACACCCCCCACTCCATACCCACCATCCTGACTCTGCTAGTGTGATTAAGTTTAGAAACTAAGAAGAAGGGCAGTGGTGCATGGCACAACTGCCTACAAAATACAGCCTCTAGGCCAGGGTCAAAGCGTCCTGGACCCCAGAGCCACCTGACATGCTTCATGTGCCCAGCAAAATGTGCTCTGGTTTAGATCATAGGATGCAGGATGTAATTCAACTAAGATTGATGTTGGCCATAAATTAGGATACTTCAGAGGTGTCCTCTCGGCTAAATCTTAGCTACAGCCGGTGACTCCTACAAAACCCATCTCAAGGCTCCAAAGCCCCCCCATTGTGCTAAAACAAGATAAGATTGTAAGATTAATGCTTTCTCTTGCTTCTGTAAAAGTGCTTGCTAATCAGATTTTTAGAGTGTGTTTTTTGCCTTTAAAAGGGGCCGTTTTTCCATTCTCACTACTACTTTCTGAACCTGCCTCTCTGCAGAACAGGAATAGTCCTGGCCAGTAAATAAAGACTCACAATTTGGCCCAATTTGGTTTCTAAGGTGGTCTTTTCTCACACTTCGGACTATAATATTAAGGTGAATTAATAAAAGGAAATCATTACATTTAATCCTGTCAATTTACAAACAAATCTGTTCTTTTCTTCATCTATCATACCTCCATGAAAAACAGAGCAAGGTATGTCAAAAAGGAAAAGAAAACAATGTCATAAAATAAAATGCTGTCTAAAATGGGATAAAACAAAGAGTCAAAGATAATGCAGTTATCTTTTCCTGCCTGTTTGAAGCAAAGAATTCTGTAATAGTTTTTTTTAAAAAAGTCAGCAGGACTAGGAAATTCAAGAGTGCGTAGGCCGGGCGTGGTGGCTCACGCCTGTAATCCTAGCACTCTGGAAGGCCGAGGCGGGTGGATCATTCAAGGTCAGGAGTTTGAGACCAACCTGAACAAGAGTGAGACCCCCATCTCTACTAAAAATAGAAAGAAATTAGCCGGACAACTAACAATATATAGAAAAATTAGCCAGGCATGGTGGTACATGCCTGTAGTCCCAGCTACTAGGGAGGCTGAGGCAGAAGGATTGCTTGAGCCCAGGAGTTTGAGGTTGCTGTGAGCTAGGCTGACACCATGGCACTCTACTCAGGGCAAAAGAGCCAGACTCTGTCTCAAAAAAAAAAAAAAAAAAGGAGTGCCTAAAGCTAAAGTGGTCTATACAAGTTCACCTTAAAAAATTAAATACCCAAGATGAACTTCTAAGATGATATTGACACAAAACAAATATACCAAATTCTCTCTCCTTTTGTAAATAGTTATGGCTACCCATTTAATACATTAATTTAAAATAAAAACTGCAATCTATGCAAACTAAATCTCATCCTAGTCACAAGACTGGAAAAGTAGGAAACAAACCTGCGCTAAGAATAGCAAGAATACAAGATTTCCTAAAGCTAATTTTCCCTAGCCTCTTTCAAGTGCTTAGTCACTTCTGCCTATTTACAAGGAAGACCATTTCACATCTAGAAAGAAGGAGGGAATTTTAATTCCAGACTATCATGTCACCTGAGCTGCCCTAGACATTTGTTTCCATGCAACTCAAGAGAAGGCAGCAGCCAGCTAGGCATACCTACCAACCCAGATCAGAACCAGAAGCCACTGAGCTCTCTGTATCCTGCTTCTGTTGTAACAAAGAGGGTTTGTGGAAGAACAAAGTTTTCTTTCTTAACTCCAAATGCAAAAGGTGAGAATTAAAATGTAGCCTGAAAACATTCCAGTTTCCTCTGAGGGCCCACGCCCCCTCAAATGTCTCTCTTCTCTTCTACTTGAACAGAAAACGGCTGCTGGTGCTTACAGTACATCTCCCCTTAGGCAACTAACAAAACCCACAACTAGAGGCTAACAAGCTTTGGAGCACACTTTCAGAAAGCAGCCAGAGCCTTAAAATCTGATAACATGGTTTCAAGTTCCCCAAAGGCAGCAACAAAAAGTAAGGTTTTCATAAGAGATTACTTTAAGAGACAACCAGTGGCAAAGGCAAGTTTTTAAGAACCCACTCTATGCCTAGCACCATTGTCCAACATTCTCCTCACACATAAAGATGCCTAAGCACACATGCTGATAATAGAAATACACCTGAAAGAATTTTCACAAGATACTCCAGGATCTTGCAAAAGACCAACCACACTCTTTCCAAACATACTAAAACCAGGAATGTTGTGGTCAATCTGTAAAGCAGAGATTAGTCCATTTTCCAGAAGATCATGAAGGGTTCTGACAGAGAACTTAGATTATTTGGAATGGGGCTCTTAATCCTTCCAAGAATACAAATGCTAAAATGTCACATTTCCTCGACTTTGGCATCCTCAAACACCACCCTCCTCATTATTCCTAATACTCCCATAATAATGCCAATCTATCACTTCACATTCATACCCGTTGCCATCTTCATAGACAAAATATATCCAAGAGATACTTCATAGGTGAGAACACTGAGGCTCAAAGAGGCTAAGAAATGCACCTAGAGCTTCTTGGTGAAAGAAAGAAGTCCTTCAGATTCCCAGGCCTTTACCACTTACTATGAATTAAGCCATACTGACACTCAAGGAATGCTACTAAATCCAGTTACCGATCCCAATTTGTTTTACATGTCACAGAAGTGGGAGCAAAGAGCTCTATACCAAAGACTGGGGCGGTGGGGGCAGTGGGGGGCAGGGGGAGGGCACACTACCACTACCTAAGCAAAGATTTTTTTTTTACGTAAACGAATATAGCACACGTTCTCGATTTCCATCCTCCCCACGGGCAGAACCCACGTGCCGGTCCCACCGCTACCCACAGCACCTCCCTCTCCACACTCTCCCACACTCCGGGAGCCTCCCCACGCCCTTCCCTCCGCCTTCCAGCGAGCGCTGCCACCTGCGTCTAGAGCCTCATCCCCAGCGACCGCCCCTGAGGAGCCCGCGCGGCCTCAGCCACAGCCCACACGTTCCCGCCTTCGCCAGGAGGCCCTCGCCCTTCCCACCGCCCGCCAGCTGACTGCCCGCCCCGAGGTCCCTCCGCCACGACAACGCCGGAAAGGCCGCGCCCGCCGCGCCTGCCATGGTGGGCGCCTCACCGTCAGGCTGGGGAGCCGGGCCAGGCCACGCCATGGCCAGGCGGCAGGCCTCGGGGAGCGGGGATGGGCGGGAAAGCGGCGTCACGGGCTCCCGCGGGCTCAGCTGACAGAAGAGGCATCAACCAACCGCCGGCGCCGCCCAGTGAGGAACAGCTAAGCCTGGAGCAGTGCAGAGACGGATCCGAGCCGACCTCTGCCCCCTCATCCTGACAGGGGATGCGGCAGCAGTGCGCATGCCTGGGCGGGAAATGCAGCGGCACGTGACTCTGGTCTGACGCTAGCTGCCCGGCTTCGCGCGGGGTGGGGCAACGTGGCAGGAGCTGAGGCGCCAGGTGGAGCGTGTCCGCTGCCTGAGCGCCAGAGTGAGGCAGATGCTGAGGGAAGGCTAGTTAGAGGGGCGGCAGGAAAGGGGCGCCCTCTCCGAATGGCCGCTCCCACTTCTCTGCCCCTGCACTGAGGGGAAAAAAAAGAAGAGGAGGCGGTTTGGTGGAGTGCAGATCCAGCTTCTACCTCTCCTAGCTGCGTGACCTTGGGAGAGTCGCTTAACCCCTTGGAACTTTTGCCAGTATAATAGCTAAGGAAAGTTTAAATAAAGTAATAAAGTGTGGACTGTTTCCCACAGTACTGGGCCTAGACTCTAGGTCTCCTGAGGTACTTTCCATTAAGCCACTCGGTCTGGCTTTTCTGTGGTGATAGGTGACGGGGGTACAGCCCGATACAGTCCCTGCGCTCATGACCAGAGAGGACAAATCATATACGGAAAGTTCGGCCTGGGCGGAGAACCTGGGTGGAACCAACGGCGCTGGTCCTTGGAAGGGGAATGCCTCGCCGGGGAGGCCGTGGTAGAGGCATCAAGGGCTGTGAACTCACAGGAAAGTGGGTACTGAGGGCTGGAGTGGGTTCTCTGAGACAATGGACATAGAGACAGACAGAGGGAGGGCGCTGTGGCAACGCCCCAAGCAGGAAGACAGGGCACTTGAGAGGATTCCTTGGCTGACAATAAATCCTTTCTTTTCATTATTTCCATCAGTCAGTTATGTCATTTTCTGGTAGGCAGTTGAAAACTACAAGAGAGGGAATCAAGTCCCGTTATATTTATTACATTCAGCCTTAACTATATGGACTTAAGCACTGGAGCATTTGTGTTTCTTTGACTCATCAGCAGAATAGTAGGAAATGCTGTCAGTGTAGCCGCAGATCCTTGTAGACCACTCATTCTTTAGCCTCTGTTTGTATTTACTAAGCATAATAGAGCTGCGGCAGGAAATGCCTAATAAAGCACCTTTCAGTTATGTTTATACCTAGACCTTTGATTCATACCGAGATAGCTGCTTATGAATTAGAGAGCTTCCCATCTTTGACCTGATGTCTCCTAAACCATGTCAGAGACTAAAGAGAAAGCAGCCTGCCCAGTTTTCCTTGGTCATGTGCGTACTGAGGCTTGAGTTTTCAGTTGTGGTCACCTCTGCCCATTCAGATACTGGCTAGCACTTTGGATCAGTGTTTCTTGGGCTCTTTCAGAACTGCTTTGCTATTTCAGAACTGCTCTAGACCCCAATCTGGAGTGGTCCTGGGTGCTCTGTTGCATGTTAGATTGCTACTCTTCAGTGATGCTTGGTCTAAATGCTGCATAACAAGTCCTGTCTGCAGAAACTTTCTGTGCACATGTGCTTGGTGAAGAGCCTTGTAAAGTGGGGTCAGAATGCTAACAAGTCTGGGACATTTCCAATTTAATGTCATGGGAATAGTTTTGCAGATCGCTGAATCACATGTAAAAGAGTCTATTGGGGCTTTCTTCACAGAATCAATGCACTAAAATGAACTAATGACAAGCCTGAAAAATGCTAACTAAAACTGGAATTAAATCAGAGAAACCTTGTGCAAGCCCTCGGGTTTTTAGGGAGAATTGCTTGCTAACCTATAAACTGTGAAGCAGTTCCTGAGTGGTGCCAGCATATTATCACATACGAAGAAATATATTTGGGCCAGGCATAGTGGCTCACGCCTGTAATCCCAGGATTTGGGGAGGATTAAGAGGGACGATCACTTGATCTCAAGAGTTCAAGATTACAGTGAGCTATGATGGAGCCACTGCACTCCTGCCAGGGCAACAGAGCGAGACCCTGTCTTTGAAAAAAATAAAAAGAAATATATATTTGGTCTCTGCCCCTGGCTACTGATTCCTCAAACCCTTGGGATCTCCACAGTGGCAAGGTGTCTTTGTGTGCCAATGAGATTATTACCAGTTGTTGGCTGCCCCTAGGGGGCCTCAAGGTAAGGGCTGGTCACCAGAAAGACCAAGGCAGGATTAGAGAGTTAGACTTTCAGCCCCAGCCCCACCCTCCTGGTCTGATCACTAATGGCCGGTAATTCATGCCTACGTGTTGAAGCTTCTGTAAAACCCTAGAAGGACAGGGTTCAAGGAGCTTCCAGGTTGCTGCACATGTGGAAGTTTCTGGAGAGTGGTGCACCCAGATAAAACATGGGAGCACCACACCCCTTCCCACATGCCTCATCTATGTGTTTATTCATGTGTGTCCCTTATAACATCCTTTGTAATAAATGGGTGTCAGTGTTTCCCTGAATTCTGTAAACTGCTCTAGCAAATTAATCAAACCTAAGGAGGAGGTCGTGGGCACCCCTATTTACAGCTTGTCATTCAGAAGCACAGGCCACAACCTGGGGCTTGGAATTGGCACCTGGTGGGGGTGAGGTGGTCCTGGGGATTGAGCTCTTAACCTGTGGAATCTGACCCTATTTCCAGGTAGGCAGCGTGAGAATCAAACTGAATTAGAGAACACCTCTCTAGTGTGCACTAGAGAACTGTGTCATAAGTGGGAACAACCCCTACGCCCACATGTGGTGTCAGAAGTGTTGAGTGGTGTGTGCGAGAGTAGGAAAAACACTTTGGTTTTTCCTGTCATAGCCAGGGCGGCCAGCACAACGTCAATGGGAGTGAGGACGTTAATCGAGTGCCCTGCCCTTCCCTTCTCAAAATCACAGTGCCTGAAACACTGGCACCCTCCCAGCATGCTCCATGTTTAGATTGTTCTGTCACTGCCAGCATCACGAGGCGTGACCCCCGTGTTCTAGAACACAGTGACAGTTTGTGAGCGACCAGGTGGCAGTTTGTGAGCGACCAGGTGGCAGTTTGTGAGCGACCAGGTGGCAGTTTGTGAGCGACCAGGTGGCAGTTTGTGAGTGACCAGGTGGCAGTTTGTGAGTGACCAGGTGGCAGTTTATGAGCGACCAGGTGGCAGTTTGTTTGAGTGACCAGGTGGCAGTTTGTGAGTGACGAGGATGGCAGTGCCTGATCCATTGTCCTGCAGGCAGCGCCAACTGCTGGCTTCCCTAAGGCGAAACTGCCTAAGGGTGGTGTCAAATGTTACCCAAATGGTTCCCCAAAGGGTGAGTGACAACTTTCATAGCAAAAAATGGGAGAAAGCCTAGTTTAAGGGGTTCTTAGAAATGTTTTAAGTGCTTGCGATAGAATTATAGGTATGAAATAAGGCTGTTAGATAACAGGACCTTAGATAACAGTACCTTAGCAATACCTTAACATGCGACTAAACAGTTTTATCTACCAACCTGACCTATCTACCCATCTGTTTATTTTAGTAAATGTGTAGGGCTGAGTCTAAGTGTCCGCTATTTAATTTACATTCCTAAAAGTATACATGAATGTGGCCAAAAAAATATTTTTTGGCAGTTACCTTAGTAGGAAAATAGGGAATATTCGTACTCAAAATTGCCTTATTTGGGCATAGATAGTATTCATGTGATATTTAAATAAAATTAATAACTTGAATATCAAGCTAATGAATCACAGGTTTATGATTATTTTTACTGTTATATAGTAGAGTATTTTAATCTGCCCCTTATTGCCATGGGGAAGTTTAAAAAGGCAGAAATTTGTTCAAGGTTGCAGTGAGCTGTGATGACACCACTGCACTCTAGCTTGGGCATCAGAACGAGACTCTGTCTCCAAAAAAAAAAAAAGTTTTCATTCCCTTCGTGTCAGATTCCCTGTTCAGGAGAATATTAATAGACTGCCTTGGCCGTTGAGAAGGTAACTTGGATTCCTCCTTGCCCCCTGTCTTCTGAGTGCCAGGGCCTGGGGTAGAGAAAAGTCACATTGAGTCAGGCTCTAATTTATTCAGTACTCTGTGTGGTCTTAGGCCAGCTGGTTGATCCCCTCTCTCTCTGATGGATCACAGAGATCCCTCCCTGACATCATACAGCAGGGTTGTCTTTGTGTGAATTCTGTAGAGGCCTGATGGAAGTCGTTCTTTAGAGGACCTGTTTTTATTTATTTAATTATTTTGCTATTTTCTAGGAGTTTGTAGCCCTTAAGAAAGAGCTCAAGGAATGCAGGGAGCAGCTCCTTGAAAGGGAAGAAGAAATTGCTGAATTGAAAGCAGAAAGGAACAACACCAGGGTGAGTAGTTGGAACTGACTATTTACCGTTCACCTCTGGAGTGAGTATCAGGATCAGTGATGCTGTCTTAGAAGGAAATGCAATGTGCTGTTTGGTTTTCAACACATTTCATACTGTTTCTTCCTGAGATGACTATGGTCAATCACTTCACCTTTATCATACATTGCTTAAATTACGTGATGGAAATTAATGCTATTTTAAGATATTTGAGGGAAATTTCTATAACCTTCCACTAAATGGAAAAGATTCAAACTTGTTTTACCATGAGCCCCCAATTCAGATATGAAATTAAATGTGTTGCACCTTTTGTTTCAGTTGCTGGTAGAGCACTTGGAGCGCCTCATCTCCAGGCATGAGAAGGCTCTCAGGAAGACCGTGAAGAGACAGGCTTGCTCATCAGGAGGCCTGTCCAACGAAGTCACAGTGTTTAATGCACTGAAGTCATTGTTTGAACACCACAAAACTCTGGATGAAAAGGTGCCATCAGCCACATAACAAGTCTTGGCTCGTGCGCATGCTGGGTGTTAGGCAGGCTTCATACGTGTTTGGGGAATGTTATGTTTGCAGCTTCTTGAATTCTTACAAACAAATTTTCTCCCTTAAAAGACAGGGTTCTTCTATATGGCTGGCATAAATATCTTAAAATTGATTAATTCTGTATATTGCATTGCTGCTAAGAATTGGGTAATCTAATTTATTTAGAAGGAAGTTTTTCTTAAAATTTAAAGCCATTCAGCCTGAGCAAGAGCAAGACCTCATTTCTAGTAAAAACAGAAAAAGAAAATAGCAGAGCATAGTGACACATGCCTGTACTCCTAGCTACTCAGGAGGCTAAGGCAGGAGGATCGCTTGAGTCCAGGAGTTTGAGGTTGCTGTGAGCTAGGCTGATGCCATGGCACTCCAGCCAGGGCAACAAAGTGAGACTCTGTCTCAAAAAAAAAAAAAAGAAAGAAAGAAAGAAAGAAAGAAAGAAAATTAAAGCCATTTACGAGGAATTTTCTTGACAATAAGATCAATGAAAGAAAGTAATGATATTATATTATGTTATAGTGCACTAATATTAGGAGAACTGTACATTTAGGAAAAAATAAAGCTGGTTGCAATGGCATGTACCTATAGTCCCAGCTACTCAGGAGGCTGAGGCAGGAGGATCATTTGAGCCCAGGAGTTTGAGGTTGTAGTGAGCTATGATTGTGCCACTGTACTCTAGCTTGGGTGACATAGCAAGGCTCTCTGTCAATAAAAGAAGAAAACAAATATATATACATGTACAAGCACACAAACTCAACCCCTTTTTATTTTCAGGTGAGGGAGAAATTACGAGTGGCAGTTGAAAGATGCCATTTGTTAGAAGAAGAATTAGGTGCCACACAGAGAGAGGTAAGCTTGAGATAGCATATTGAGAGGTTTTTATTTTTATCCCTAAATTAAATATATATATATATATATATATATATATAAGGACTGTAGTAGTGGATATCAAATTTATTTATCTTTTTGACTGAGGATCAACCTATCTAGGTCATTTTTAGCTACTAGTAAACTAGACTTTTATTTCTTAAGTTCCCATTTGTACAGTAGATAAGAAATTCCAGTTTTAATGATCTGGTTATGTACAGATTGGATAATAATGCCACATGCTTTTTTTTTTTTAAACTATGTTTAGCAGTTTATAGTTGTGCTTTTCCAAAAGGACTTTTGCTGTCTTTACTTAATGTCTCCTATGTAAGGTATTTTACTCTCATATCAGTTTTTTGGTTTTAGGTCATGATTCTTAAACAACAAAAAAATCAGAAAAAATCACCCACAGAGGGAGTGATGGCACAAGAAAATACATCCAGTGTAAACAGAAAGGCAAGTCTTTAGGCTTTCTCTTTATTCTAGTGTCATTTGTCCATAGTATGTGGGTCTGGCTGTTTTAGGAATCTATTGCTAAAACACTGGTATAAAGCTTGAGTGGTCACAAAAGTTGCCTAATCCAACAGATTGCATAAGTCAGTTTTGATTTGACCTATTATCTGGAAGTATTTTATTTTACAGCTAACCAAACAAGGCTATTTAAGTCCTTTTTTCCCCCATCAGAGATCTTCTGATGGTTCTTTAAGCTATGAGGAAGACCTTGCTAAGGTAATTGAGCTCCAAGAAATCATAAGCTCAGGAGTTTGAGGTTGCTGTGAGCTAGGCAGATGCCACAGCACTCTAGCTTGGGCTACAGAGTGAGACTCTGTTTCAAAAATAAATGAGTAAATAAACAGAACACTAAGTAATGTGATATAGGCCTAGCGCAGTGGCTCACACCTGTAATCCTAGCACTCTGGGAGGCTGAGGCGGGTGGATCACTCAAGGTCAGGAATTCGAAACCAGCCTGAGCAAGAGCGAGACCCCATCTCTACTAAAAATAGAAAGAAATTAATTGGCCAACTAAAAATATATAGAAAAAAATTAGCTGGGCATGGTGGTGCGTGCCTGTAGTTCCAGCTACTCAGGAGGCTGAGGCAAGAGGATTGCTTGAGCCCAGGAGTTTGAGGTTGCTGTGAATTAACCTGATGCCTCAGCACTCTAGTCTGGGCAACAGAGTGAGACTCTGTCTCAAGAAAGAAAAAAAGGAATGTGGTATAATACAGAGGATTTAATCAGCTAAAGCCAAACACTCTCCCATTCCAACCCCCATTTTCTTTCTTTATCGTTTGGTTTAACCTGGGCTGACTACTGTCACAGAAGTGTTACCTATCACCAGAGTGAAGGGACTTCCTAGAATCTCTGTGAGAGAAGTTCTAATGGGCTGCAGTTGGATTCAGACTGCACCAGTGTCCCTAGAGATAAGGCTCAGAAACTTCCCCCGAACTGGTTCTTAGCACTGGGGTCATGCTCATGTGGGGGAGAATAATGATTACTACTCATTATATGATAAATTTATTTTACACATACCTGACTATGGAGTGCATTGTTAGAGAATACATAGAGCTCGCTCACGTTTTTGATGGGTGGATCAATCTTAAGGTAGGAATATTTGTACCTTTGATTTTAATTATATACTTGAAACTTAATTTTAGGTTTCCCAAGTGACTGATGAAATACAAAATCTAGATGTTAGTATTTAACATAAACCAGTTTAACTGATTAAAATAAACTTACACTGTGAACCTGACATACCTACATTTAGAAAATAGGGTCAGTGAAGGAGTAAATTTTATATGAATAAGAGAAATGATTAGAAGTGATCACAGCTGCACGGTCAGCATTAGACTCCGTGGGACCACAACACAGCTCCTTAGAGCACCCGCCTGATCTTTCCCTCTCTGTGGCACATTGTTTTTTAAATAAATGTAACCATATTATGTATTGAAACTTTTCAAAGAAGCACTAAAAGACTATCTCTGTCTTTTTCAGAATTCTCTGTTTCACCAAATTGAAAATGCAAAAAAGCTATTAGAAGAAACGCAACGTGCTAAGGTACTTAAAATGTCTTCTCTAATTCCTTGAGAAACTGTTCAGAGCTGAATTGAACTGAGCTTATTATAATCACAGTTACTATAGATGCTTGGCAGAAGTTCAGATAAACTTTCTCTGTAGCTCTCATAGTCCACTGCCATAAGATTTATAGCACTCTTAGATGTGTACATTGAATGCCTTTGTGTTTTAGATGTATTTCAAGTCTGGCAACTTGATGGTTCAGAATTCTGAGTCCCTTCTGGGTTTATTTGAAGTTAAAATATTAGCATAAATCTTTCATCCATAACAGTGCTGTCCAACAGGAATATAATATGAACCATATATATTATCTTAAAGTTTCTTTTCTTTTTTTTATTTGTTTGCTTGGTTTTTTGGTTTTGTTTTTTTGTTAGTGAGACTAACAGAGTCTCACTCTGTTACCCAGGCTAGACTACAGTGGTGTCATTGCAGTTCACTGCAACTTCAAACTCCTGGGCTCAAGCAATCCTCGTGCCTCAGCCTCCTGAGTAGCTGGGACTACAGACAAGTGCAAACATGTCCAGCTAATTTTTCTGTTCTTTGTAAAGATAGGGTCTCACTATATTGCTCAGGCTGGTCTCAAACTACTGGCCTCAAGTGATCTTCCCACCTTGGCTTCCCAAAGTGCTAGGATGATAGGTGTGAGCCACCACGCCTGGCATAATTTTCAATTTTCTAATAGCCACATTATAAAAAGTAAGAAGAAATAGAAACAATTAATTTTATTTAACCCAATATATCCAAAATGTTACCATTTCCAAATGTATTAATAGAAAATAATAATGAGCTACTTTACATTCTGTTTTCATATTAAGTCTGTGAAATTCACTGTATATTTCATAGTAACAGCACATCTCAGTTTGGGCTAGCCCATTTCAAGGGCTCAGTAGCCACATGTGGCTAGTAGCTAGTGTATTGGACAGCAAAGACCTAGAGATGAGATCCGCTATGCAGGTGACACAGGAATGAATGCATGCTTGGTAGGAGACCATTAAAAACAATACAGAGACAAAGAGTAGAAGCTGAATATCGTTCCCCTTTTCCCCCAGAAGATTTGTTACTTTCTGCAAGATTAATGATTGTTAATGGTTTGGTGTTTGTACTCCTCTAAACTTTTCTATGACTAAGACAAAGCTTTTCTTCATTAAGCTTTACAGAGTTAATTTGGCAGTCTCAGTGTTGATGTTTTCCACAGTATTCTTAGAGAAAAGTTTCTCAGAATCAAAGTGTTTGGTATTTAAACTGCTGGTTTAACCTGTTGTGGTTATGCTCAACATCTGAGCACATTTGAAGCAAATTATTTTAAAACCTAAAAGTATGGCTCACGCCTGTAATCCTAGCACTGTGGGAGGCCGGGGAAGAGGATTGCCTGTGCTTAGGAGTTTGAGACCAGCCTGAGCAAGAGTGAGACCCTGTCTCTACTAAAAATAGAAAAAATTAGCTGCTCGTGGTGGCTTGCACCTGTAGTCCGAGATACTCGGGAGGCTGAGGCAGGAGGATCCCTTGAGCCCAGGAGTTTTGAGGTTACTGTGAGGTAGACTGACACCACAGCACTCACCCAAACAAAAGACTGAAACTTTGTCTCAAAAAAAAAAAAAGAAAAAGAAAACCTAAAAGAGATAGGTGTAATGTAAGTCTTTTGCTTTTTTATAGGATCAGCTTGTCCTAACCCATGAAAAACTGAGGGCTGAACTAGACCAGATGATGCTAAGAGGTGCTTCACTTCATCACAGGTATGATGTTAACCAACTAGGTTTTCAGCATCTATTGTATGTCTACAAGGGCCTGCTCCTGGCCATGTGGGCAGTATAGCTGGATATAGCTCATGGTCTGACCTCAAGGAGCCTATAGCTCAGTAGCAAGCAAGAAGCAAGATAAAATACTCCAAGGGTTAAAGTTGGTCCCTAAGAGATATATCATTGACAAAACTCAGAAACATGGGAAAGTTAGGAATCATCAGTCAGTACTGAGATTTATGAATTTAGATACCTAGTGGACTGTGACCTTGATGATATAGGGACAAGAGGACAGACCCCGAAGTGGAGAAATACAATGCTGGTATTCATGGAAGGGTGGCTGTGCCCACAGGATGAGACAAGTGAGGGAGGTGTCACACAACAGGAGTTTGAGAAACACTTTGACAGTCATGGTTTAGTACACTATTTGGAGTTTTTGACATTTTTTTAGAAACACTGAAGTTTCATGACATGTCATTTTATGTTTTTAAAAATGGGGTCTTGCTCAGACTTTTGGGGGTTGGGGGGGAAATGGGCATTTATTGAAACCTTAAAATCTGTACCCCCATAATATGCCAAAATAAAAAAAAAATGGGGTCTTGGTATGTTGTACAGGTTGGCCTAGACTCCTGGGCTCAATCTATCTCTCTGCCTCAGCCTCCCTACTACCTGGGACTACAGGCACATGCCACCATACATGGCCTTTTTTTTTTTTTACAAATTTAATGTATTGATTTAAGTCTGTTGAGACATGCCTTTGAGTTGGCTGACTTCGGAGGGAATTACCTGCCTTGTGAATGCGTCTAGCAGATTGCCCAGCATGTGAACCTCCAGCATTCTTATTTTTTTTCCTACTCATTGTTACAGAGGCAGTCATTCTCATTAAGGTATTAAAATGTTTCTTTTGTTTTCTTATAGAAGATGGTCTTCAAATGAGAGTTAAACTTTTAGCAAACATGAGTGAAATGGTTAACTGGCAACATTACTCTATAGGAAACGGGCTCCTGCCTGAAACATGATTTAGGTGAAAGCTTGGGGCCTGTATACACAGTTCTACATTTGCAAATTTAGAGTATTGTGAAGGTCCAGGGTATATTCTGGCCCTTCCCCCTGACTCTACTCCTAGAAAGCTCAAACAGAAATCAGTAAAGACAGAACTACACAGAGTCAGAGTCGGAAACTCTCACTGTCTCTGAGACCAGTGGAGGGTGAGCTTTCCAGGAGGAGAATTTATATTCTCACAGAGGAAATGTTGAGGAAGGTAAGGCCATAGAAAAGTCACTCAATTTGGTGATGAAGATCCTCAATGGTCAAAAGGTAGTGTCATTTGTGTGGCATAGACAGAGTCAGTAATTTGTGTGTCTAAAAAGTACCCTGTGAGCAGTAGATGGAGAAGAAGCAGGCGCAGTGCATGTCACTGTCTTAAATGAAGAGCTGTGATAAAAAAGGGAAGGAGAGAACTGTTGCCACAACTGAAAGGTAGTAAAGTCATGTCACGGGTGGATTTTAAGGTGGAGAAGTCTTGACACGTTTGCCAGCCAAAGGTGTGCTACTTTCAAAGTGAAGGATGACAAGAGAGGGACCAATTGTTGTAGGATCCCCAAGGAGGCAGGAGGGATGTACCAAGTCCTAGTGGGTCTGAAGTGGTGTGAGGGTCCGAAGACAGGAGGCAGGGGAGGCTGGATGAGGAGAACAGGGTTTGTTTCAAAAAGGCAGACCTCAAGGTTTCACATCAGGAGGCTGCAAAGAGAGGCTGTGAGTGTGGAGAAGACGCGAGTACAGGGGGTGGCATAGGGCCTGGGGAGGGATGAAGCGAGGCCTGGCCCCCAGGCCACGTGCTTGTTCCACATGCCCTGATGGTGGAATAAGTCACCTTGTTTTTGTGATCATCTCCAGCAAGAGAAGATGGCCTCACCTGGGGAGTGAAAAAGAAAGGTGACAGCTAGGCTCCATACACAGATCAGGGTGGGAATGGCTGGGTGTGGGCCCGTGGTTGACTTGGAGGAAAGTAAGCCCGGGAGAGGGCATCCAAATGAGGAGGCTTTGGTGGGCTTCAGAGGATGCCCGAGCCATCCAAAAGTATACACACGATATTGTGAGTGCGTAGCTTTTATCCCGCTCTGGAACATGTCACCACCCTGAGCAGTTAGGACAGAAATGATGCTCAGAAGGAAGGAGAAGTTTACTTCGGAACAAGGGAATGGGGGAAGTGAAAGGAAAGTTGTGGGCAAAGGGAAATTCCGGGATTTGGTCTCTTACAAAGAGATAATCTCATATAACACTACGCAGAGCCATTTCTTTCACACACTTTGAGGGGGTGTGAATCAAAGGTGGGTGAGGTGGCATGTTGGGTTTGTGGAACTGGCCTTGTCTGCCAGGACTGCCAGACTCTCTATGGAGAGTCCTGAGGAGTTCTCTGTTTAACAAACTGTAATCAGATTAGCGGGCTCTATCTCCAAAGTTCTTTGCTGCTTAAGGGTTTCTGAAAATGAAGAGAGCCACTCTTCTTTCCCAGAGATCTAGGAGTTACTAGAGAAGTGAAAACATGACTGTCATAGACATAAGTGGCAGGTAATGTGTCCTGGCTGATACTGGTAGCACTCACCCCCTGCTGCCGCCTGGCTCCTCTCCCAGGCCTTTGCTGAGGAGAACTGGACAGTGGCTCATGCCAGCGCCTGATGCCTAGAGCCCTACCCTCATCTTTCCAGGCACTTCCTCAGCCAGCGGTGTTGATTTTCTGCTAATCTAATTGCACACAAGTCTGTGTTTTTTATTCAGACACTGAAGTGAGCTGCCAGACCCAGTTCAGAGAAGCCCTAGCTCTGGCTGAAAGGGGCATCTGCAGTGGATGCCCCTTGGGCGCCTAATAGCAGCACGTTAGATGGTGTTACAGATCGGGACGTGGGTGCCAGGCTGATCTCATGCATAAGTGAGGAAATGGCAGAGTGGTTGGAGGTCAGCAATGAAGTGGGCGTCAGCTATGGGAAAACAGAGCAGACATGCAGGCCTGGACTGGGGACCCAGAGGAGGACTCTGAGGGGGACCCCAGGTCTCTCCACATTCCAGGCAGCTGGACTCCATCTGGCTCGTCTCCATGGCCATGGCCGTGTGTGCTGGTTTTCCTGGAGAGTGAAGCTTTCCACCTGGCAGGGCTGACAGACTAAACACTGGCCAAGAGCAGCTACCATGGAGCTACTGGGGCAGCGAGAGAGGCGCCCTCCTTGGAGACCTTTTCCTCTGTGTCAAAAACCTGTTTCCCAAATTCACAGGTTCTGCCTTCACCAGAAGTCTGAATGATCGTTTATTTCTCTTCTAATAATGACCATTTTTATTCTTCATGTTTCAGCCAACCCCAGCTGGGCAGTGCCCACGGGTTCCCTGTGGCAGACAGGCGCACAGTTTCCTCCAGCACCCGCACGGCATTGCGGCGACCCAAGAAGGGCCGCCTGGCAGCCCTGAGGAGACGCCCCCACCTTACCCTGGAAGCCCTGAGGGAAGACCCTTCTGAGGCAAGGCCTTCGTATGAAATCTTTATTTATGTAAAAGTTACCTACTTTCATTCTGTGGTTCTGAGACTATTTGGGAATGAAAGTATTAATAGGTCACTTTCCCTCTTGCTCTCCTCTCATTTTCCTTTTTCTCCTTTTTCTGGCTAAGAGTTTAATTTTAGGGCTTTAAAAATATCTGAAAAAATACAGTCTACTCTTAAATACCATGCTAATTACTATGGATTTGAAGTAATAATTAAAAATAAATGAATACATGCATTCATCATTTACTGAAAGGATTTCACATTTGAAGGTTTAAATACCCTGTTACTTTGGTCTGTTTAGCAGCTGGTGTGTGATACACGTCTGTGTCATTTGAACACCCATGTTCATTGACTAGCCTGTCAGGGCCAGGTCCCGTGACAGAGCTAGGGCCATGGCCGTGTGTGAAAAATGTAATGCCACACCCCAGCATGCACGTTCTAGTGAGGAGTAACAGGCAGAAAACAAATCAAATAAGTGCATGTGGATTAGTTATCTATTGGTGTGAAACAAATTACTACAAAGCTCAGTGGCTTAAAACAGGTAACATTTCATAGTTCACAGCTCCCGTGAACTCAAGAGCAGCAGAGGGAGTGGTTCTGGCTCAGGGTCATGACAGGCTACAGTACAGAGAGGCTTGGCAGGGGCTGGTGGCTCCACTGCCAGGTGCACTCATGTGGCTATGGGCAGGGGGCCTTGAGCCCTCACCATGTGGGCCAATCCACGAGGCTGCTCGAGGATCCTCTCAGTTGGCAGAGGCTTATCCCAGAGCTCACATTCCCTAAGGGAGAGCAAAGAGAAAACTCACAAGCCATTTGTGTCACACCTTCACTCCACTTTATTCTGTTAATTCAAGTGAATAGCTGAGTCCTGCTCACAGTCGGTAGCTGGAGGAGAATCACCCTTCGCTTCTTAAGGGACAAGTGTCAAAGAGTTTGTAGACATACTCTTGAGCCATCCAGTATGTCAGATGGTAATAAGCAGGGAAAGGGACCCAGGGGACTCTGAGTTACAGAGCCAAGAGGAGAATAAGAATTTCAAGTGTTGTGCCAGGGAGATATCACCTGACAGTGACATACAAGCAAGGGCCTGAAGGAGGAAAGAGAAGGAGCCGTTCAGGTACATTGTTAGGTGGAGCCAACAAAACCTGCTGAGGGATTGGAGGATTGTAAACGGTGAAAAGAGAAAACAGTCATAGATGGCTCGAGGGTTTGTCCCCAACAGCTGGCAGGGTAGAGTCTGCTTCCTGAGATGAAGAAGACTGCAGATTTGGGGAGACACAGGGAGTCCAGCCTTGACCATCATCAGGCAGCCAGAACTGTCAGATATCCAAGGAGGGTGTCAGGTTGGCTATCGAACAGTCTGTTCCTGAACCCAACAGAGAAGTCTAGAACTAGAGATAAAGACTGGGGGGTCCTGATCATGCAGATGGTATTTAGAGGCATGGGACAACATGAGGTCATCCATGGATGCCTTTGATGGTCTAAGGATGAAGCCTTGAGCACCCCAGAGTGACAGGTCACAGAGACTGGGAAGGAGCCAGCCTGAGATGGGGCCTGACCAGTGAGGAGGCGGGAAGCCAGGAGATGGTAGGCCCTGGGCCCAGGGCGCACTAGGGAAAAGGGGAGCAGCCGAGCCTGAGCGTGCTGGTGGGCTAGATCCAATGAACATATGACACCAAGGGATGGCCAGTGGGTGTCAGACCGTGGAGTTGTTGGAACATGAGTAGAGTAGTTTTGCTGGAGGGGAGGTGCCCAAAGGCAGCCTGCACACAGAGGACAGGGTAGAGGCAGCTCACTGGAGTAGTTTTACTCTGGGGTGGTGAGTAGGAGGAGACTGGGGCAGGGGTGGGGGTTAAGGCTTGGGGGTTCTGTTCTGGTGTTTTAAGGTGGGAGGTGGGACATGTTCTTGTGCTGATAGGGATGAATCAGTGGAAAACAGATTATCCCTTGTGTAAGCCACAGGCTGTGTCTGGTACCCAGGGGAAAGGATGGGAGGGTGCAGGGGCCTTGATTTTCTATCCATGAAGTGGGCAGCAAGGTCATTGGCTGGGAGAGAGAGAGAGGGCCAGGAGGAATCACATCGGGCTGAGGGGTCACCTAGCCCCCGACACGCACACTTTCTCTATATGTATTCTGATGATACATGTGACTCTTTGGCCAGGGTTGCTTGGCATGGAGATGCCTTTTCTACCTGAGCTGCATTTCTCTAGAACTGGCTGGTACATGGGTGGGGAGAAGCAGTGTATCTGCAGGGCTTGCTCTTGTCTCTTTCTTTTTACACTTTTTGCTTGTTGCCGAGCTTGTTAGAACCAGCCTCAGAAAAGGGAAGGGGATTTAGAAACTCAGATTAGTTGTATATTACTGGATAACACTTGTAAAATGTTATGGCCACTGAGGGCAACCCAACTGATGTGGATTTATATGATTTTTTTAAAAATGTCCCACTAGTATGGCTAATTGGGGAAGAGATGTATTTTTAAGTGATATATATTATATGTACATATTTTGGGGACACGTGATAATTTGATACCTTTTATAGTCAAATCAGGATAATTGAGATAGCTATCATGTAAATATTTACCCTTTTCTTTATGCTAAGAACATTTGAATTTTTCTGGATTTTTTGAAATATATAATCAACTGTTAACAAGAGTCACCCTACTGATAAATCAAACACCAGATTTCTCTTCATCCCCTCAACCCTTCCTGGCTAATTTCGAGTTTTCATTTCTGACTCTGACATTTTCCCATGGTTTGTCTTGTCATAGAAATGCCTCACATACACATTAAGACATTAATATTACAAGACAGTCTATCTAAGAAACAAATGAGTTATCATCCTACCTTATTTTCTTTCTCCTTTTTCATTCTTTTTAGAGGCATTTTTGCTCTGTAGCCCAGACTGCAGTGCAATGGCATCGTCATAACTCACTGCAATCTTGAACTCCTGGGCTCAAGCAATCCTCCTCTCAGCCTCCCAAGTAGCTGGGACTACAGGCCCACACCACTACACCTGGATAATTTTTTCTACTTTTAGGAGAGAACGGAGTCTCATTCTTGCTCAGGCAGCTCTTGAACACTTGATCTCAAGAAATCCTTCTGCCTTTGCCTCCCAGAGGGCTAGGATTACAGGCAGACCCACCAAATCCAGCCTAATTTTTAAAAATTTTCTTGAGATGGAATCTTGCTATGTGGCCCAGGCTGGTCTTGAATTCTTGGCCTCGAGCAGTCCTCCTGCCTTGGTCTCCCAAAGTGCTGGCATCACAGGTGTGAGCCACCTCGCCCAGCCAGTTGAGTATCCCACATCCAAAATGCTGGGGAAGAGAAGTATTTGAATTTTGGAATTTGTAGTATAGTTACTGGTTGAGCATCCCAAATCTGGAAATGTGAAATCCTAAATCCTCCCATGAGCATTTCCTTTGAGCATCCTGTCAGCACTCAGAAAGTTTCAGATTTTGGAGCATTTCAAATCTTGGAGTTCTGGATTTGAGATGCACAACCTGCCTGATTGTGCGATGACAGGATAGCCCTTCAGAGATGTGAAGGCAGCTGTTCTCTGACAAAAGAACGTGACTTACTGCTGTGTGTGAGCTGCTCTGTTGGGCCGAGCAGTGTGGTGACTGGTGAAACTGCTTGTTCAGTCACTGATTAGTTTGTCACCTGGGGTTTGTTACTCGACCTGTTTGTACCTTTGTGCTCCTGACAAACAAAGGTAATGGATTGTGCCACTTGAGGTAGCTGCAGACCTGTGTCTGTCCACAGTGACATCAGGAGCTTAAACCAGCTGCAGCAAGATGCAAAGCACACCCTGTAGATCCAATGAGTTGTATTTGGGTTTGTTTCTCTGATAGCAAGATTTCCTAGTGAAGAAGCAGTGTGTTGACTAACACTCAGGCCTAGTAACCTAGTCTTGTTGTTCAGGGGTAACTTCAAGGTGCTGCCTGGTGGCTTTGAGGAGCTTTATTCTCAGGTCATTGTGAGGGTTCAGCCAGCTGTGTGTGCAGAATGCCAGGCACGATGCCAGACACAGCCCACATCTTACTGTCACCTTCCTCCTCTGCTTCAGTATTATTCGTATATACTAAGATGACTTCCCTGCTTTCTAGTAGCATCTGAGATGCAACAGAGGCAAAAATCTGGTGGGTCACAGTGCTGCCTTTGCTGTAGGAGTGCAGTGGGCAGAGTGTGTCAGGGCTGGGTGTGCCTGGAGGATTTCCTTAGGGAGCTGGTCCAGGTTAGCAGGGCTTTACTCATGGACCTCTGGTAGTTTACGGTGAGTTGTATTGCCAAGTTGATCACATGTATCACTGCCTGTGCTGTTCTTTGTTTTCGCTTTTATAAAGGAATGATTGTTTTAACCTGAATTTTGAAACTCTCAAATTTCATATTGACAACATCTAGCCATAATAGCCTTGTGTTGTCTTATGATTGTAATCGGAAGTTGAGAAAGGAAGCAGGATTTATCTGCATCTTACCTGCTAGTTAAAAGTATGCCCTCAATGACCTCAGCCCTTAATGCACTAGTCTTCCTTGTTCTCCTTCAGCCACTGTTGGGCTACAATGGAATCAATGTACTTTTGCACAGTCCCATTTAAAAAGCGGAAATTCAAGGCAGGTGCATTGGCACTCACCTGAAGTCCCAGCTACTCAGGAGACTGAGGTGGGAGGACCACTTGAGCCCAGGAGTTTCAGGCTGTGGTATACCATGATTGCATCTGTGAATATCCACTGCACTCCAGCCTGGGCAACGTGGTGAGACCTCATCTCTAAAAAATGAATTAAAAAACAAAAAGCAGAAGTTCACACTTCAAGTCTTATTGTTTATACAGACACTTGCTCTTCATGTTTCCCGAAATCTAGTCCTACTCACAACCAGAAAACACAATGTATAAGCAAGACCTGCCTAGACCTTGAAGGGCTGAATCTATTCACGACTATTACTACCATCCTGCATCCCTCAGCACATAGGCATACTCACATTCTAGTGCAAAACAAAGAAAATGTGGAGTCTGAAAGAGATCATCTGTTAATGATAAACCTAGGATTATTTTATCTAAACCATATTGAAAAAAAGGTTTTTGAACTGCAAATAACTGGCTGGGTTTATAGTATTCAGTGTGAACATATGGAGTAATAAATATAAGCCGTACATATGTATATTTGGGTCATGGGCTATTCCATGTTTATTCCCCTGCTCCCCAGACAGAAAGATATTGATGGTTTTGTCCAAGAAGTTAAGGCCCACTCTAAAGTTTCTTTTGAATGGCGCCAGGAGAGAAACATAATTGTCATGGGATCTGTATCAGTTTGAGTTCACGCTATCAAAATTTTATAACAATGCAGTTGGGGGTTCAGATCTTTGTGGCCCCTTCAGTGATTGTCCTCAAGATGTGCCTAGGACTCCAGGAAGGTAGAACCTAGAGCAGTGCAGAGGAGGCTGAGGGGTGCTCCTGTGACCCGCCCAGGGCCCCACTCTCAGGGAAGAGCAGGCTTCTAGTGCTACTAGGCAGCTCTGTGCTCACCCTGCAACATGGTCCTGCTTCTCAGGAACAAGACGGTCCTTGAAAATGGCATGAGACTCAAGTGAGACTTTTTGTTCTCCCAGAAAGCATAGCTAAAAGATTTTGAAATAAGTTTGTGGTTATAATTTAAGGCTTCTGTGATTTTTATTCACAGTCCCCTGTTACCTAACTTTGCACTTCTCTCACCCCTCAGTCTCCATATTCCAGAGAAGATGACAAGACAATTGTAGAGTGTCAAACCATCCCCACCACCTCCCTGGTGTCCCTCCAGGTGGACAACCCACAGGAAGGAGTGCCGCACATGGGCTGCCACAACGACATCAGGTATGTGAGAAAGTAAAGATCAGGTGCCATCCCAGCAACTCCCATCGAAACGTGCTTGTCTGTCTGTCTTCAGGTTTAAGAAACCTATTCATTTTTACTTGGGGAAAAAAACCCAGTGACTTTAAGGAATTACCAGTTAACTCAGTTGAGTTTCTTTAAATGCTATACCTAGAATGCCTACCACTGCTCCGGGGACCATACTGAAATCCGTTTGGGCAAAGTCAGTTTGGGAAGAAAGGAGTAAAATATCAGCAAAGTTTAGAAAAACTTCATTTCTTCAGATTGTACAGATTGACCACTTTGAGAACTTTCTGTCTATTCTTGATAGACAATTTGCCAAGTGGAGACAGATTTCTGATTAGCACTGCTGTGTAGGGCAGTGTGTGCCTCTCACAGGCCCTCTGTGCCTTTTATAAGCTGTTGAGAGTTCCATGTGGTCCTTACCCATTGATTAAGTACTTCCTCTCAGGAAACCAATAAAACATTTTGTTACAAATATACTATCCTTTTTCAAACTACTGTTTATTGAATTTCTGTTCCGTACCAGGCAGTGGGTGATGGAGGGCATGTATGTTCCCTGCAGGCAGCTGACATGGCCCTGGTTTTGCAGCTGAGGAGTAAAGCTCACAGCAGCTGTGGGAGCTGCCCAGAGGGGTGGGGACTCCAGCTGTTCTGATTCCTAGGACTCTGCTCTTGCCGCTGCTGCTTCACACCGCAGGCCAGAGCGCAGTTTTGGAGAGCTGGAAGGTGTCCCCGACTCAGGTCACTGGGCTCCCGCATCTGATGATTTGGAGTCCAGCCCTCCTCTGAAGGGGAGCGCCACCTCAGAGGCAATCTAGGTGTCTCACAAACAGGTCTCCACGTTAGCACCCTGGGAGCCACCTGTACTGTGTGTAGCTCACTTTATGTGGGAGATGTGTATAGAAGACACTGGAAGTGTTGATTAGAAAGTATGAAGAACAAGTGTTAAAAGGCAAAGAATTGTAATGTGCATCAGAGGAATGTTCTGTTTTGATAAGGGCACGTGGTAAAGATCCCTTTCTTTCCTCCAAGCTCCACAGACTCCCAGGATGGTCCCACAATTAATCCAGGGAGGAGCGACGGCAGCCAGGAGTCGGTGAACAAAGCCAGGAAGAGGAAGGGCATCAAGTCCTTCTTCTGGTTTGGGAAGAAAAAAAAGGGCCGACCTGCAGAAAATGACAAAGTGGCATCAGAGCCAGGTTGGTTGGTTTCCAGGATATGTTTTAACAGTCAGGTTGGGGAGAGAAAGAAACTGTCATTTGTGTGCCCGCTGGGTCCCTGACCAGTGATTCCCTAGCAGGGTGGCAGGGGTGTGTTCTCCAGAGAACAAGACCTTCGAAGGCATGAACCGAAAACAATAGTTAATTCATAGGCCAGTCAGAGATGTAATGAGTTCACTGTCTTCAGCGTTTTTATGTATTGGTTTTCTAGTCAGAAACTTAATCCAAGAAATTATCACTGTACCTGCCACTGTGCTGCCACCTATTTATGAAAGCACACAACTCTGCCATGTAGATTTTGTTGGGGATTGTTCTGCTTCCGCATAGCTGGTGTTTCAAAGACAGATAATTCATCACAAGATGCCTTGGGACTTAGCAAATTAGGGGGACAGGCTGAAAAATATCATGAGTTTCAAGGAAAGTTGTTAAGTTTGGGGGACTGGGCACAGTGGCTCAGGCTTGTAATCCTAACACTCTGGGAGGCCAGGGCAGGAGGATCCTTTGAACTCAGGAGTTTGAGACCTGCTGGAACAAGAGTGAGACCCCATCTCTACTAAAAATAGAAAGAAAATTAGCTGGACAACTAAAAAAAAAAATAGAAAAAATTAGCCAGGCATGGTGGTGCATGCCTGTAGTCCCAGCTACTCAGGAGGCTGAGGCAGAAGGATTGCTTGAGCCCAGGAGTTTGAGGTTGCTGTGAGCTAGGCTGATGCCATGGCATTCTAGTCAGAGTGACAGAACAAGACTCTGTCTCAAAAAAAAAAAAAAAAAAAAAGAAAGAAAGAAAAAAAAAAACTTAGCCAGGCATAGCACCACCAACTTAGTGTTGCTCGTTTGTAGTCCCAGCTACTTGGGAGGCTGAGACAGAAGGATTGCTTGAGCCCAGGAGTTCGAGGCAGCAGTGAGCTAGGCTGATGCCAGGGCACTCTAGCTCAGATGACACAGTTATACCTTGTCTCAAAAATAAATAAATAAATACAACTAGAGTTGACCATGGTTTCCTGACAGCTCTCTCAGCTCTGAACTTGTACTCATCTGATGAAAGACAGGGTACAGAATCAAAAACCAGACTGCCTGCACTGTGCCTCCATTTCCCTCTCTTTAAAATGGTCATCACAATAGCATCTTCCTCACAGGGCAGTTGTGAGGATTAAATGAGTGATTCTTAAGCTGGAAGAGTGATGGGTGCTACATCAGTGCTGGCTGTCCAGGCATTTTGGCAGCCCCTGTGTTACATGTAAACACTGTTTATTTTCATCTCTGATGCAGAAGAATAGGGTTGGAAAGTAAGTTTAAGAACTGCACTGATGGCCTTTGGACAGTCCCATAGTAGGTTTGCTCTCTCTCACCTATATAAAAATCAAGAAAAAAGTACACTTCTATAAAACCTTAATTAAGCAGGACACTTGGTGAGAATGGCTTACAGGGCAGCATTTTTTTGTTTTGTTTTTGAAACAGAGTGTCCCTCTGTCACCAGGGCTAGAGTGCCGTGGCATCATCACACCTCACTGCAACCTCAAAGTCCTGGGCTCAAGCAATCCTCCTGCCTCAGCTTCCCATGCACCTGGCACTACAGGCACATACCGTGATACTCAGCTAACTTTTCTATTTTTAGTAGAGATGGGGGCCTCACTCTTGCTCAGGCTGGTCTTAAACTCCTGACCTCAAGCAATCCTTATGCTGTGGCCTCCCAGAGTGCTAGGATTATAGGCATGAACCACTGGGCCCAGCCCAGGGCAGCATTTTTAATAAAAAGCTGCATTTTGGGGGAGGGGGGGTTGCCAGAGTTTAGTAATATACTTGAGAAAAATTCAGAATGTCTTTTAACCAGTAAGTTTTAAAAAATTAGTATTTTTCCTCCAAGGAACATGCAGATAATTCTTGTAACTCAAGAATTACACTTGTAACTCAAAGTGTAACTTTGGCCTTCAACTTAACCTCTACCAGTTATTGGGTGGTCCAACTGAGTGCCTTTTAATTATCCTTGTAACTTCAATTTAAGTTTTCGTCATTATAAGTCACATTTCCCCTGTTAAATGTTAACAGCAATATTAAGTATGTGAGAATAAAACTAAATCTAGAAAGAACTGTAGGGAATATATTACACACAAGACTTTTTATGCTAAGGCACTAACCAGGTAAAATGGATCATTTTAATGGCTTCTTAAATAAGGGAATGTAAGGTAAATTTCAGCAGGTTCCCTGGTCTGTTGGAAGAATTTGTAAAGATTATCCATTTGCCAGCAGTCCCAGCTATCTTACATGTTTTCTGAAACCACCGCAAAATGTTAGTAAAAAAAAAGTATTCCTGGTGTACCTGAGGGAAAAAACAAAAAACGTGTAACTGGGAGCAGCAAACGTCTGCTATAGATTTCTGAAAGTTTCTTGGCCAGTTTGTGAGTGGGAATCAGGCTTACCTATGGCAATGCCGTGTGTTTCTTGGAACAGGAAGCAAAAAAATCAGTGGTCTCCGTTATTTCTGGCAGAAACTGAAACTGGGCTTCAGTGTTCTTAGATCAGTCATTGTCCTCATCCCACTGCTCTCCAGGCCCCACCCCTGCAGCCAGACCACTCAGCCTACTCTGCACCCAGCCCAGCAACTTCCGCCACCCTGTGTCCCTCCACCCTCGCTGGGGCTGCGGAACACCATACAGCGCCACTCAGTCACTTCCCTTGTGCCACGATTAGAGAATCAGTCCTCAGGGCAGAAAGAAAAGCGCAGTTGGTCTGTGAAGATAAAGTGTAAGGAGAAACAAAGTGATGGCTAAGTAGCTAGCACTGATGCAGATGTACATTTTGAAGTTGTTTTTATACCCTTGGGTGCTCCACTGATGATAGTTCAGCATTATCTTCCAGTGAATCCCAGGGCCCCTTGGGACTTGGGGAGAGACACCACTGGATGACACTTTCTCTTTCTCTAGCTCTGTCCCACCGCCTCTAGCAGACTCCCCTCAGATCTCTCAGTAGGTGCTGTTGAAGCTGTGAAAACGTGTGTCTGTACTTGTGCCCTCGTGTGACCTTTCAACACTAACTGCACGCCTCCTCCCCTGGTTCTCCAAACAGGCAATGCATCAGGAACACAAAGGTTGGATTCTGCTGCAGTCAGGACTTACTCCTGCTAAAGCCTCCTGTTGGTGAGTAGAGAGCAACTTAATCTCTGGAGGTTGTTCAGAGGCACAGCCGTCAGTAAGCAGGAAGCTGTAATATCAAAGTAGAATTGCTGGCTTTGGACCATGAAAGCCAACTTCAGTTAATTTGGGAATTTCAAACCTATAGACACATAAGCTCTCTGCACCTATTAATATGATTTTGGTGTTACAGTTGCTCATAAAGAGGTTAGTGTGTCCTTATTTTTTAAGGAAAAATCTTTTTCCTATTTTCACTTTTTCCTTAAACCTGAAAATGCTGGCTCATTTTAAGTGTCTGCTAATATCATGAGGAGGTGGGCAAGAGAGCAGGACATGACAGAAGGGAGGATAACTCAGCTCTCGGCTAACTGCCCCAGTAGTCAAGAGCAATGGGGACATCTCTGCCACTTTGACATTTTCATGCACACTGATCTAATTCCTAAGCTTATTTGTTATAAATACACATTCTTGAATGAAATAAGCACCAAAGTTTTGTGGTCAATCATGTAATGAGTTTCATAAAGCTATTTGGTTGTGTGACACTTAACAGCCTTTCAATTTGGAGAGATTGTTTTTTTTTGTTTGTTTTTGGTTTTAAAGGCAGGGTCTCACCGTGTCACCCACGCTGGAGTATCATGGTGGGATCATAGCTCAGTGTAACTCCTGGGCTCAAGCGATCCTCCTGCCTCCACTTTCCAAAGTGCTGGGGTTACAGACATGAGCCACAGTGCTTAGCAAGGAGAGACTGGTTTTTCAAAACAAACTCTTGGGTTGCTATTCCAGGCTCTGGTTGCTGAGAACCCACCGGCCCTCTCTCTGTCCCTGCTGTTTTAGGGCCTCTGCTCACCTAGGCAGGGGTACAGCTGTCCCTGCCCTCTTCTCTCACAGCTCTGACTCTTGCAGCGGAGCTCTCTCTGCTCCATTTGGTTTAAATGTGGATTGGTTTTTTATTGATAACTTTTAGACATATGCCAAATTGAAGTCAATTAAGAAATTCCTTCATTGATATGCATAGTCCTTAATGTTCTATCTAGTGATTCCCAAAGCAGCTAAAGTACAGAAGGTCAGGGGAGGACCTGGGACTCCATGTGGGTGGCTGCTTAGGCCTCAGCACCTGAGTATATAGGTCTTCCTCCATGTGGCTTGTATTAAGAGTGGCTTTTTGTTTCTTTTTATTTTCCAGTTTACCCATACTACTTCAAAGATGATTATGCAGCATTTTGAATCCAACAAACTACATTTTAGAATTCAGTGGAATCTTTAATCTGTTAATACTTGTTATATGGACCCTAAGATATTTTATTAAAGAGTTTTTAGCGAATGAAAAATTCATGAACACCATAGAGAAAATATTTTAGAATTTAATGTTTCTTATATTTACATAAATTATGACTTTGTTTATATTTTTACTTTTTCATGTATATTTTTGTTTAGTTTTTCATTATTGAAAAATTGATGAATACCATGGAGAAAATATTTTAGAATTTAATGTTTCTTATATTTATGTAAATTTATGACTCTTCATTTATATACTTTTTCATGTATATCCAGGCTATAACTATCCTTTCAAATCAACTCATGTTCTTATATCTAATTGTAGTGTTTGAAATGAATGTACTGTAATGCTTGTATGTATAAATGCTATGAGTAAATATGGGGCTTTTGTAAATTATGCATTTATTGTAACTATCACTGTTTAATTTGTTAATGAAAAACCCTGACAAAGATTTTACTACATTTATAAAATTGTCATGACACAAGCAATGTGCATTATCCTTTACAAATGCAACTTAGCCCTACAACAATCATTTTGAAATGAGCATATTTAATTTCAAATAATTATTGTCATATTTTAATGATTGACCTTAACTATACTTTTTCTAGCAAGAAATGCTTTTCTCTGCATCGTGAACAGACTTAAAATATCTGGTGTTAAATATCAGATTCTAATAAAATTTGGACTGAAAGGATTATCCAAACACTATGAAATCTTGTAGCACTGGTTAACTCTTTCCTAGCCTCGTCTCTGGACTTCAGTAGCCTGTCTTCAATGACTGACAGAAGCTGAGAGCTGGGAGCAGTTTTCTCAGTGGGAGAAAGACTCAGGGGTCGGGTACCCTGGGGACCAGCCCCAGCCTTCTGAGCATTCTCCCCGGGCCTTCATCCTTGGAAGAAGGGTGGAAAGGCACCCATATAAGTACTCCTCGAGAACCAGTCACCAAGCACTGCACTCTCATCTCACAGACATCGATGCGTGTTACAGATGAAGGCAGGAGATCCTGAAAACTATGTCATGTAACTAATAAGGGCCTTATTTTTCTTATGTAAATCATCTTTTTATATTTGTTTGTAAATTTCTTCAAAGAATGAACCTAGTTGTACATTTTTAGATTTTGATGATATAGCCATTTTGGACTATATAAGTAGCAAATGTAAGTTTTATTTTTTAAGTGGTATATTAAAAAGCCAGCAAAAAATGTGTCAGGTCGTGGTGGTGTGTTATTTATTATTCAACCAATACAGATAGAGACAGCATGTCTTTTTACATTTGATTTCTGCTTTTTAGTTTACTTGTACAATTCATTGCTACTATTCTATTTTTCTATTAAGCTTTTGTGAAATTCCTGATTATATAACAAAGTATGTACAGTCTATTTTTTTTTTTTTTAGAGACAGTCTTGCTCTGTTGCCCCATGTAGAGTGCAGTGTTCTAGCATTCCTCCTGCCTCAGCCTCCCAAGTAGCTGGGACTATAGGTGCAGGCCATGACACCAGCTAATTTTCTCTATTTTTAGTAGAGACAGGGTCTCACTCTTGCTCAGGCTGGTCTCCAACTCCTGAGCTCAAGCAGACTTCCTGCCTCTGTCTCCCAGAGTGCTAGGATTATAGGCATGAGCCACTGCATCCAGCTACAGTCTACTTTTGAACTATATTTATCACAGTATTATTTATTGCTTTCTTTCAATAAAGTACTGAAGCATTTTCCAAGGCCAATAAAGAATACTGAGAATAAGCTGTCACTGCATGGACAGCTGGCTGCAGCTGCTTTATCTCATGCTCTAAACCAATTCATTGAAGTCACCATATGGAAATTATATTCTAGAAATTAATTGATAGGGTAAAGAAGCTGGAAGTTGAAGTGTAGGTTCAGGGTGTCATCCAAGGGAAGACCAGGTGGGTCCTGCCCACTGCTCTGGAGCTGCAAGACCACATCTTTCATCCATACCTAAGTGTGGCAGAGGGGAGACTGGAGTGCAGTGACATGATCATAGCTCACTGCAGCCTTGAACTCCTGGGCTCAAGTGATCCTCCTGCCTCAGCCTCCCAAGTAGCTGGGGCTACAGGCATTTGCCACCATGCCTGACCAATCGATAAGAATTTTAGCACTTGACACCTCCCTTTCCCTCTCCCAATATCCCAACAGAGTTAAGCCAAAGCCATTGGTGTGAACTAAAATAAAATCCTAGGCCCCTAGCTTATTGAATGGACCCCCGCTTGGACAAGGAGACCCCCCAGAAAACCTTAAGGTTAGTTGCCAGCCATGAAAAGAGAAGCCTGGTCATGCCTCCTCCCTTTTGGAGTTTTTCTTTGCAATAAGATACTAAATCATTAACAGGTCTAAGGCAATGCAAGACAGAGCATAAACCACACCTGTAGGCAATCAATTTGCTAGACCCATCACTTGAGTTTTGGTTAATGTGGGTGGCTTGTCTCTGATAGTAAAGTTTTCTCCCTAGTCAGGTAGGCCAGAAACTAAGGAGACGGTTGCACCTCTTTCCTGCACTAACCACACCTTGCCAGTTTCCAGAGCCTGTGAACAGACCTTTCCATCCCTTAGAGGTTACCTCTGAGGCCCATTGGCCAGACTGGACCCTTTAGCAGCCTCCTGGCTGTTCCATAGCTCCCCACCAGTTCATAGCCCCCTGCTGTAGCATGATCTCTTTAACATGCAAATCTGATTGCCTTCCTTTGCTTGAAATGCCTCCACGTTCTCTATCTCCCCTCAGGCTGAAGTCCAGACTCCAGTCTCTTCACATCTTTCCTAGTCTGGCCTCTCCAAGCCTCTCTCAGTTGCTCCCCAGTTGTGGTTAGTTCCTCATGTACAGATTCCTCATTTTCTTACAATGTCTTTGTAAATGTGCTGTTTTCTCCAATTAGGCCTCTCTCGTCTTCTGCTTGCTGACTCTTCTTGCTAGCTACAACTGAGTAATGTGGCACAAATCGTTTGGAGAACCAGTTTTGCTCTGTGTCTAAAGATCTTCAAAAATGCTTATATTCTGACACAGCAGTTTGATTTCTGCTAAGGAAATGATTCCTAGCTGGAGGGACATCATGTATAATGGTGTTCACCCTAAGAACTTGTATATATTCATTTTTTATTGGTTAGACAATGATAGGAATTAAAGTATAAATACATGTAAATTCGCACTGCACTTGGGTTGAGCATCTTTACTACATCCTAGCCCTACCCATCTCCCCTCTGCTTTTAGCACAAGTTACATAAATACCAAACCAGAACAAGTTCATTTCCTGCCCAAGAATTGAACCTCCTTCTCATATAATCATATACTTTTATAATTAAACAGTCTCCTTGACCAAACTTTAGCCAGGCTCTTCTTAATCTTTCCCAATTGGGCCTCAACTTTAGGACTTTCATGGCTTTCTCTGCATTGCCCAATTTTAGCAAGATTCCTGCTCGGTTTAGTCAGAGTTCTGTTCCCTCTATATCCCTTTGTCCTGGATATCTGATCACATTAGTCATTCCCCATCCTCCCCCAGGTGGTATCTGATCACCCTAGACTGCCTTCAGCAAGAATCTTGTTAGCTCAGTTTAGCAAAGAATTACTCGGCCCCCTTAATAATCTTCCATCTAACAACTACCCTCCTCCCAAGCCCCACTCTGTTCTTTGGCTGTAAGTCCCCAACTTTTCCTTGTTATATTCAGGTTAAACCTAATCTTTCTCCCCAACTGCAAAATCCCATTGCAGTCGTCCTTATGCCTAGATAGGAGGTAGTCCTGGAGAAGCCTGCCTTACGTTTTAACAAGTGTCATTGTAACAGAGGGAATGGTGTGAAAACTGGCAAAATGTATTACAAGCCGTCTCTTTAAAGCCCCCAGCAGGCCGGGCGCGGTGGCTCACGCCTGTAATCCTAGCTCTCTGGGAGGCCGAGGCGGGCGGATTGCTCGAGGTCAGGAGTTCGAAACCAGCCTGAGCAAGAGCGAGACCCTGTCTCTACTATAAATACAAAGAAATTAATTGGCCAACTAATATATAGAAAAAATTAGCCGGGCATGGTGGCGAATGCCTGTAGTCCCAGCTACTTGGGAGGCTGAGACAGAAGGATTGCTTGAGCCCAGGAGTTCGAGGCAGCAGTGAGCTAGGCTGATGCCAGGGCACTCAAGCTCAGATGACACAGTTAGACCTTGTCTCAAAAATAAATAAATAAATACAAATAGAGTTGACCATGGTTTCCTGACAGCTCTCTCAGCTCTGAACTTGTACTCATCTGATGAAAGACAGAGTGCAGAATCAAAAACCAGACTCCCTGCACTGTGCCTCCATTTCCCTCTCTTTAAAATGGTCATCACAATAGCATCTTTCTCACAGGGCAGTTGTGAGGATTAAATGAGTCATTCTTAAGCTGGAAGAGTGATGGGTGCTACATCAGTGCTGGCTGTCCAGGCATTTTGGCAGCCCCTGTGTTACATGTAAACACTGTTTATTTTCATCTCTGATGCAGAAGAATAGGGTTGGAAAGTAAGTTTAAGAACTGCACTGATGGCCATTGGACAGTTTTTTTGTTAGCCCGTCCCATAGTAGGTTTGCTCTCTCTCGCCTATATAAAAATCAAGAAAAAAGTACACTTCTATAAAACCTTAATTAAGCAGGACACTCGGTGAGAATGGCTTATAGGGCAGCATTTTTTTGTTTTGTTTTTGAAACAGAGTGTCCCTCTGTCACCAGGGCTAGAGTGCCGTGGCATCATCACACCTCACTGCAACCTCAAAGTTCTGGGCTCAAGCAATCCTCCTGTCTCAGCTTCCCATGTACCTGGCACTACAGGCACATACCATGATACTTGGCTAACTTTTCTATTTTTAGTAGAGATGGGGGCCTCACTCTTGCTCAGGCTGGTCTTAAACTCCTGACCTCAAGCAATCCTTATGCTGTGGCCTCCCAGAGTGCTAGGATTATAGGCATGAACCACTGGGCCCAGCCCAGGGCAGCATTTTTAATAAAAAGCTGCATTTTGGGGGGGGGGGTTGCCAGAGTTTAGTAATATACTTGAGAAAAATTCAGAATGTCTTTTAACCAGTAAGTTTTAAAAAATTAGTATTT